ACTCGGTTGACATAGTCGGCAACGACGGTCGAACTGTCATTTCTTCACAATCCTGACAGTATGCTTACGTATGTACTGTGCTTCTCAGGAAAGGCTGAGAAAATATTCTGACCGTAAAACGGTCGTTTTCACTGACAGCAAAAGAAGAAAGCTGGGAAATCTGCGACGCACAAAGTAACGCGGCCAAATGCACGAATAGCTCGTCCTACATCACTACCTGTCTCCTTTAATTAGAAATCAATGTGCCAAGTTAGGTCACGTCTTTTTCCTCAATTCCGACTCATTTCTTGTTTCGGTGTGCATTTTTACTTACCGTCTTTCTCCTTTTTCCTTTATTTACGCCTGGTGGTGTTCTACGGAATAAAGTGAACCTGTGAAACTCTATGTCTCCGGTGTGAAGGCCCACATAACCAACAGAGCGTTATGGGAGCACTTTGCGCAATTCGGAGAGGTCGAACATGTATATTTGCCCGAAGATCCACACACAAGCTTACATTGTGGAAATGGCTGCGTTACACTCCGCCCTACATGGGATATGCACATGATTCTTGACATGGATCATATTATCTGTGGCGTCCAAATTAATGTTGAAGAGCGTAGTCCAGAGAACTACCAGAAGGACGGTGATTTGAGGTAAGACTGCTTGTTTTTTTATAACACTTCTTTGCATCTTCAAAAATAGAGTTGGGGCTCAATGGCCTGTCGGTATTTGCGGACGCTCGACTTCCACTCTGAACTAGCGGAGTGATGAAGTGGAATTCGAGCGTCTGCGAATGCCTACATGCCAGTGCACCCAACCCCCGTTTATTGTAAAATCGTGGAGAAAATCATTAAAAGGGCGTTGATGCAGTTCCTCCAGTCCAACGCGGATTTCGCAATAGTAGGTCCTGCCTCACGAACCTGCAGGAGAACTGCTTAGGCAAGCATGGGGTAAATAACCCTACCGTCCTTCACCAGCGCTGTAAATGTACTACGGGCCTGGTCGGTCACTTGAGAGTCCATCGCACAGAGCCTGGCGAACCAGTGCCTGATGCACCCACATACACTCGCCACATCCGCCTCCACTGCCCTCGCTGTCCTCGCACGTTCAGCCACCACATGGGCCTACTGGGTCACACGCGTATTCATGACAGCGGAATTCACAGCATTCTCGATATGCCCAGCGCACCTCATCATCACACAACGCAAGCACACCACTGGCACCTTCCACGTAAGTGGGAAGTGTGCCTCTCGGCTCCTTCTCATTGTAGCTCTGTAGCGACTAGGCTGTGGAAGTGTGAACTCACTGCGCTAAGATCATCAAGTCATATGTCATGCTGGAAGGCGAAGACTAAAGGCGTCAGAATGTGGGGTTTAATGTATACAGAATCCCGGGGTTGTCCTCTCAGGCGGCAGTGACCAGTGGCGAAGCCAGGGTTGACGTTGACTGCGTCCAATCACGCCTGAGGGTCCCTCGAACATTAATGGCAGCCACTTTTTTAGGTTCGTGGGTCCAGCGTAAGTCGTCTCCAATCGGTGTGTGTTGCATTTGCTGTACCAGTGGCTTGTGTTACTGGTTGTAGGGGGTGGCGTGCTCGAGTGGCGCATGGGCAGCTGCGAGTTTGTAGACTCACATGCGTCTGGAACGACTCGCTGCAAGGGTTGGATGACCTTGAAGCATCGAGGCCCTGAACAATGACGCCAGACTGGCCATGATGGCTGTCCGCATCTCCTCCATTGCATGTGTGATTCGAGCCGGAGACTATCGCGGTGCGTCAAACGCCACAGCTTAGAAGGTAGCCGACTGAAGTCTCAACTCAGTCCACGCAGTCCTTCGAGCTGTGTGTGTGTTTTGTGTTATTTTCTGAGAGCCAGGCTGAAGAAGCCTCCCCTGCCTTCGTTCCTCTCGATTATGTCCTGACACCGGAACCAGGCGTATGTATAGATGGTGGACTGCGTTAGATGCAGTGCAAGTCTGCTAACACCGTCAAAGAAATCTCGCGCACGTCACCATGCCTGACTTTACCTTCCCATGAAGCACACGGTTGACATCGTTGGCAACAACGGTCGAAATGTCATTTCTTCACAATCCTGACAGTATGCTCACGTATGTACCGTGCTTCTCAGGAAAGGCTGAGAAAATATTCGGACTGTAAAACGGTCGTTTTCACTGACAGCAAAAGAAGGCAGCTGGAAAATCTGCAACGCAAAAAATAACGCGGCAAAATGCACAAATAGCTCGTCCTACAGCAGCGCAGATTATTCACTACCTGTCTCCTTTAATTAGAAATCAATCTGCCAAGTTAGGTCACGTCTTTTTCCTCAATTCCCACTCATTTCTTGTTTCGGTGTACATTTTTACTTACTGTCATTCTTCTTGTTCCTTTATTTACAGCTGGTGGAGTTCTACCGAACCAATTGAACCTGTAGAACTCTATGTCTCCGGTGTGAAGGCCAACATAACCAACAGAGCGTTACGGGAGCACTTTGCGCAATTCGGAGAGGTCGAACGTGTATATTTGCCCAGAAATCCACACACAAACTGGCATTACGAAAATGGCTGCGTTACACTCCGCCCGACATGGGATATGGACATGATTCTTGACATGGATCATATTATCTGTGGCGTCCAAATTAATGTTGAAGAGCGTAGTCCAGAGTTCTAACAGCAGGGTGGAAAATTGAGGTTAGACTGCTTGTTTTTTAAAACAGTCCTTTACATCTCTTGTGGTTGCTGCTAAACGACCTTCTCGGATCAGACTGTAGACTTAGATGCTTTCTTAAACGTGCCTGTTAAGCTTATTGCTGTTATTTTGGCACTGACAATTGCGTGCCCGCTACTGTTTCCCCTTCAGTAGGTTGAAATTACTAGCATTATTGTTCTTGCGGATTCGTGTCTCATAATTTTTGCCTTTGTATGCCAGCGACCAAAATGCTCCTTGTGGTATGCCGCTGTTATTTTTATGTCGTAGTCGTGCCTAAACGTTTTTGAGAGACGGGGAATCAACACGTCGAATTCAAGTCTTCTAGCATTTACCATCCCTTGCAGAACTTTCGGTAGGACTGACTTAAGTGGACATGAGATCAGGAAGGACCTGCAGCACGGGTGGCTTTGAGCCAACTTCTGGACACGTTTAAAATATATTTAATTTCATAATGCTTGTGCGTATACAATATTTTTTGTCGTTACGTTTTCTGTGCAGGTAAAAAGATTGCCTGATTTGCCGACTTGGCAGCACGCAACATATAACTGGTCATGTGAGAAACCATCGGTTTGCAGATCCAAACCGCACAATTCTAAAGATTGGCCCTGAGCTTTGTTGATTGTGAGTGCAAACGCAATCGAATCGGGAGTTGCAGCCTCCGAAATCGAAATGACATATCAGTTGAAATTAGTGGAATGCGAGGGATAAGGACATGTTCAACTTCGAAGGATCATGTTAAGATAGTGGCTTCCGCGACGTTGTTTATTAGTGATTTTAATTCAAGCCGCGTGCCGTTGCAAAGCTATGGGTGGTTGATATTTCGCAGCATGATAACCGGCACACCGATTTTCAATTGCAGTACCTGCGCCGTCATCCCTGGCAGATTAAGTGAATTCAAAATTTCTGTGGGGTAATTAACTGCCTCGTCTGCTTCCATTGCAGTGTCAACGGACGTGTGCACGACTGCCTCGCTTTGAATCTTAGACTGAATAGTATGGTTAAGTAGGTAGACTTCTTTGTTCTTGGCTGCAAGAATAGCTTGTTCGCTCCGCCAATCGCGATCCTTAAAAAGACTGGAATGTTGGAAAATACAATTGTAACCTATTTTTCTTTTGATGACACTAAATTGCCGAAGGTATTAGGTTTTGAAATGCGTTCTGAAGTCAGATCGACCGGCAGCGTTCCATTCCCCATTACCAGCAACTGGTGTGAGAATATCTGAGTCGTTTTACAGCTAAACACGCATAAGTGTAATTAATTTTAACGTCTGGACGTGACGCCACAAAGTAGAGGTTTTCAGACAGGCATTTATTTCGTCCGCTGGTGTGAATCGAGGAATTACAGGCAGTGTTTGCGTAGTCTTCTGCAAGCAGTATCAATACGTCTCCAAATGGTCTGCTGTTTCCGCGCAAATCTTGTAATGATCGGTCAAGGACCTCGACCGTCTTTTGTGTGTCATTTTGCATTCATCTCAAACACCAAGTTTGCACTGCTGCAGTAGTTTTCCCATGCTGGATGCCTTGGAAATGTTGCGCGTAGGAGTTTCAATTAATTTCACGTTCAACTTCAACTGTAAAGCTGAATGAGCGGTTCTTCTGCTGGGTAGCAATATCGCAGCTATTCCGGACGACGCAAGAGCTAAAGTTTTACGAATTTTGGATCGAAGTGCTGCCAGAACCTGTCGTAGTAGGAACGTTTTGCCAGTCCCTTTTTGGTGCATCCAAGAAGATTCCTCCAACCCCGTTATTGGCAGTCCGCATTATTTGATCGTAAATATCATCCTGCTCCAGAGTTAGCTTAGGAATGCTTGATTGTATTTTTGCTCACGCCGCAAATCTACGTCTAATGAAGTAGCAGCAGATCGGTTTTGTTGATAGCTTTCCCATTTGATTGAGAACTTTGCTCGTGATTTCTACTCACACATCGTCAATCATTACTAACGCCTCGTTGTAGATTTTCCGCTGTGAAATCCACATTTGAATTGTCCTTGCGTATTCGGCGGAAGATGCCTTCAGCCATGTGTGATCCACTGGCCGAGGCGGGGGGGGGGGAGTTTGTTGTTAACTTCATCCAGTCGTCACGCCAGAAAATCCCAGCGGAAGCGGTGACAGCCCGTTTATGTGTTGTGCGGCTAGCTCAAGTGCAGCCCAAGAGTTGCATGTCTTTTTTCCTATGTGTGGTTCGCCCAGCGGCCCATATTGCATTGGCCCAGAGGTGCTTGGGCATGTTCAAGTGTTTGCGTGGGGGGAGGGGGAGGTTGAGTGGGGTGAGCGGGTAGCAGGGTTGCAGCTATTCCGGAGGACGCAAGTCCTAAGGTTATGTCAATTTGGATCGAATTGCCGTCAGAATCAGTCGTAGGAGGAACTTTTTGCCAGTCCCTCCTGGCGCGTCTAGGAAGAACATTCCTCCAACCCCGTTATTGGCAGTTCGCATAATTTCATCGTAAATGCCCTTCTGCTCCGGTGTTAGCTTGGGAATGTGTGACTGCAGGTATGGCAGAAGTTCAAGGGTGTTGTAGTTTTCCTCACGAGGTAAATCCACATGTAAGGAAGCAGCAGCAGATCGGCTTGATGATGACATGCCCAGTTGGTCAAGGACATCGGTTGCGGTTTCTGTGCACATATCCCTAATCATTATCAACGCCTTTTTGTAGATTTCTGCTCTGAAATCCACAATTGTGATTTGCTTTCGCAGGCGGCGCAAGATGTCTTCAGCCATGTGTGATTTATATTTTTCCCATAATTCTGTTGGTGACGAAGGAGAACAGGTGGTCAATATGATTGCAAACAATTTACGGATTTGATGTGAATGTGACGTGTTTCAGGCGTTATTAAAACACACATCCCAGTGTTGATCGTTATCCAATAAATTAAGAGCCTGATATGCACTGCGGAAAGTGTTATGTGTAACGCCGTTGACAGATTTCAATTGCCGGAAAGACACTGGACCTGGCACATTTACCAACAGCATACGAAGGAAGAAGCACTCGTCCTGGATGGGGTGCACGGTGTACAGTCTGCCTATTGTAGTTCCTTTGAATATGCCGGGGTGTCCGTCGACTCACTCTCCACGTTGCGTCGCACGAAAGATTTTCTGCACGAATTCCATGTATAATAAGTGGGCACTTCCGAATGTAACAGCGTTTTCGCAAACGCGTCAGCTTAGTATAACACGAAGAAAGCCGTTACTGTTGTTGCCGGTGGATTAAGGACCACCTGTTGCACATTTGCAGCTATAAAATAAACGCATTGCCCATTCTCTAAGTGTACTGCCATATAAAACTACAACTGGGCTTTATTCATGTATGGGAAATGATAGAATTCGTCATACGGCTTCGTTGCCGCTGATAGATCTTCCAGTCCGAAACTGTGTGATTTCATCGACTTGTATGTCCGCAATCCCTTCTCTCCTTTCGGGTTGTAGGCCCAAAAACGGCCATCTTGCTGCCTGTGTTCACGTAATTACAAATGTTTTTAACTGACTCCACTGAATTGCAGTATTCCACGTTTATGTGCGCGTTGTATGCTTTCAAAAGCAAAGGCAAAAATGGAACAACCCAGCAGTTATCTACATGTATACTACCGGTTCGTATTCATACGGTTGCCGATTTTCCGCCGTCTTCTGCCGATCGTCTTCTGCATAAGGGATATCTGTCGTTTCCGGTAACTGTGTCGCATACGAATGCCCGAAGATATCTCTTTGAGCATTTTCCGCCTACCATGCACGGGGAAGTGGGATTCAGTGTACCACAAGGCCCTGTATCATATTCTTCGCCATAACTTCATACAAATCCTTGTCGACGTCGACATCAGGAAATTCAACGTATATTACATCGTCGATTTTGCTGGAGGTGATCTTGTTATAAAGCCAGATCAAGATATGTGCGTGGGGCAGTCCCCTTTTCTGCCATTCTACCGAGTACATCCAGCAGCGCACCGAGCCAAACACCTTGTGTTTCACCATGAAGTTCATCAGCGATTTAAGTTTCTGTCTGAAAACACGTTTTTGTCATGCCTATTCACCGGCGATTGCCCAGGAAGAAAGAGCTGTTGAATATCCCCTCAAGCTGGATTGCATGTGAATGTAATGAATAGGCCTGGACGCCCGTATTGGCAAACTTAAACAATTGCGTCTTGAGCGTACTCATGCATATGTCGTGGACTGCCAGTATATGCGAATGGCAAAATTGTTAGTCTTCCAACGTTAATTCTATTACCGTCGTTTACAGCTGCGTCACGCAAATGGATGCATTCTTCAGAGCGCAGTTTGGTCTGATTTAAGCTAATGATAAGCAGGCGTTCTGCTTCGATTTTTGCGTACATATCCACAATGAATTGATGAAACAGCTGACGACATTTCAAAAGGGGATTGCTTACATTCTGCCTAATCATTAACCTGTATGAGTAATAGTTCACTGCGCTGTATTTCATGTACGTTTCCTCACCGCTGGCTGGGTTTATCACCTTAGCGTTGAAGTGATAGCCATCGACACTATCCCACAAGATAAGGGGATACTGCAGGACATCGTAACACCGATGAGTTTCTGCAACTCTTGTCAGTTGATCTTTTTGCCGATGAAGAACAATATCTCTACGATGAAATTGTTCTCCGACTATAACAATTGCCAATTCGTCTATCTTTGGGGCATTGAATCATCGACCGTGTTGTCCAGCAGGCGTTTTGTCGGCATGAATAACAATCCTGTGTGTATCAGATAGCATCATGGTAATTGCAGTTTTGAACAAACGCACTAGTTTGTTGTGTTTATGAAGAAGCGCTTGCAGTTGGGAAACGATTGCCCAATTTATGCCAGTGGAAATCCCGCATCGGGCATTCAATTCGCCAATGTCATCGTCAATGAAGTACATTTGCACGAACTTATGCTTACCGCTTGGGGCGGAAGAAGGGAACCGGCTCTATAATAATTTTGTCCTTTCACTTTAAACGTAGGCATGAATTGACCTGTCGTGATATCTGCACCGAACGACGTCATTTGGAAACAAGAATTATACTTCGTGATGTTGGATAGCAAGTGCTTTGATTCGGCGTTCTGTCCGGCAAACAATGCAAACGGCGAAAAAGGTAAAGACCACTTGCTAGCAGAATTTATTGCATGCGAAGCCCAGGATCGCCCTCCTATCCGCAGTGGAAACCGGAGCAATTGTTGACTGCAGCCAGTCGCGCCCCGAAATCACGGACGAATAGGTGTCCGATTCGTGAGTATCTTATTGGGGCAACTCCAAGTGGCGGCCGAGACTTGCGTATCCATTTTCGGAGGGGGGGGGGCGGGTGGTTTGCCTGGCCGTCCGTACTACATGGTGTCGGAGGGGTGAGGTGTGTTCAATTATGTCTGCGAAGGTGACCGCGACTGGCGGAGTGCGCGTGTGTTCGAGAGGACCAAACAACTATACCAGCGGACTACGGTCAAGTTCCGATGGAGGTCGCTGGTTGAGGCGGAGGAGGGGGGTGGTGTGAACTGTACCCAGTAAAATAAAAGAAACCCAGAGAAAGCACTGACACCCCCAATTTTGTGGCTCGTGGGACAGTTTCAAGTGGCCTCTGGAAGTACCCCCAACCCCTGCTTTTACGCGCATTCAAATAGCGTCGAAGACTGGCATGGGTTTTTTTCCCCCGAGGGAGGGGTGGTTCGCCTAGCGTTTTAGTGAAGTTTAAATCTAAATTCCTTCAATAATTAGTGTACTTTCCGATATGGCGGTTTGCCAACAGCCCTCATTCTTAGTATAGATTCCACAACAACTTCCAGAGGATTCGTGGTACTCTTACGGTTTTGACTTAAGATGCGGTCCAATAAGGCGAAGAGAAGTTTTCTTAATTTCGCCGGTAGGAACGTCAGAGGAACAAAGATTTTCACAAGAACACATGTTGCCAGGCGGGTCAGTAATTAATAAATTTAAATAAAATTGACGGGTGTAATTGTGAAGGTACCACTTTGTATACATAACAAGAGTTTTTCATCTGTGAAATTAATTTTTACTTCTCTCATATACTGGATAACAATGAGTCTCATATCGGCCTTGAAATATCGTTGAATACCTCATGTTTTTCAGTGTTTTCATTAGATTGCCTAAGAAAACAGATTGCCTAAAATGTGTTTGTTAAAACCTTTAAAATAAGATACACCTTGAAGGCATTTTCTGAAGTAATGAGCATTTAGGCGTTATTTTTCACGTGGGAAGTCGTTTGAGTCACATGTGAAGACTCAGTCAGACAGGAAACCTCATCGTCGAATAAAATGAACGCCCATAACAAAAGTCCGCAACAAATACGCTTTCCATCAATAATAAATCACTCTGTAATACGTTTCTCCATTGAGGAGTGCTTCTTTACTGCACTCAGTTGACGGATGTCTGTTTTTTGTACACTTTTACATGGCAAAGCTGAGAAAAAATGCGACACTGTTGGCCGTTTCTTTTACGTTCGTAAAAATAGTAAAATTTTTTTACCGCAAACGTAAGAACATGGATTTCTCTTCATAATGCGTCCATTTTCGCTAGTTTTGCTTAATTTTAAGCTCTTTTATACGATCATGAATACACGGAAGAGTAGCCATAATTTACTGAGACTATTAATGTAGTGCTCGTTCCATTTTCAAATTACGTATGCGCAGAGGCTTGACCACGCGAAAAGTAATACCTTATGTGTTCAAGACTGAAAATGACTATTCGGTGATAGGAACTCTGGCAACAAAAGAGAATCTTTCAAAAGACAAAACAATTTCAGCGCATTTAAATGAAGGATAGCCTGCGTGCGTTATTACCGCACTTTAGAACATCGAATCATACAGATTTCCTGACCTGGCTTAAAAATTGACAAAACATCCGGTTCTCTAAAATAATCTGTATGTCAGATAACTGTTTCCCATGGTTTACATCGACAAAAAATCAATTTTCAAGTGCGAAAGACTTCATTTAGCAAAAATCTTGAGAGAAAATTATTTCCCTGTCAAATAAAAACTGGCTTGGTTGCACAACCGAAGTCTAGGACAGTCATTGGCATATTGAATTGCCCAAATATATCAAAACGTCCATTTTCGCCCAAATTTATGATCATTTTGCTTGATCACACTGCGTAATGAAAGGACATTTTCTCGAAAAAGTTGGCCAAGCGAGCAAAATTATCATGTCAGTTTCTGTCATCAGATTTCATGAGATAGGTCTCGCACTGTATATAATTGCATGCATGATTGCGTCTTTACATCCGTAGGCTTCTTATGGTCTCCGCTAACCTAACCAAAAATTATTCTTGTAACTACACAGTCCAGACTGGGTGCATGCTCGGATCGCGCGTACACGAACATAAGGTGTCAGTGCGACGAGACGACGCGTTATTAAATGTGGCCGCCCGTGCCTGAAACAAAATATGCCGAGAATCGGTTCAAGCCGCCGACTCGGATGAGAACGCAGTCAATCGTTCTATTGATCCGGCGCCAGCGTCCACAGCCCCCGAGCAATTACCTTCAGTCTTGCGCCATCGATCGCTGATTGGCTAGCACGCACCATAACTGTCGCTTATTGTTGTCGCCTCGATCTCTGACGATGGACTCGTGCACGAGTACTCGACCAGGCTTCTCATCACTTATGCATAAATCAAAACGAAGATATAAACTTCGCAACGTTCTGAGGCATCTAATTCTAACTCGTTTTGCTCAAACGGTGAAATGTGACAACCAGGAATTGCTGCCGATTGGGTAATGATAA